TGATACCTCTATTTCCACGAAAGTAAAAGCCTATTTAAACTGCAGTGTCTCTGTATGCTGGTTTGTGTGTTCTCAACACAACTTTCACAATACTTCTCTGAACGTACTCGCTCTCCCAACTGGGAGCTTACCTAACACTACCTGTACATAGCTTCTTGCTGCAGTTCAATAACATTTAAAATATTAAAATAGGACAAGTCCTATTCATTCCCTTTTCCCTGCCTTTCTCTGATTTTCAAATGTCCCCCCCCCAAAATGGGGAGGAGGAAGAATTCTATGTTCATTTAACTTATTCAGTTCAATTAACTTATTCGTTTGAAAAGAATTTTTTTCCTTTATGATTTCCACACAAACACATAAAATTACAAATTAATTATTTATATACATGAAATGTAGCTGCATAATTACTGACCAGATTCGCTTTCAGAGCTCTCTGAGTCACTGCTGGAACTGTCGTTACCTTCATAAAATGAAAATGTATTTGTCTTAGTAACAGTTAAACAATTCTGTAGATTAAAATGAGACCATTGAATATTTAACATTTGCTCAATCCAGTTCTGAATTTAGAAGAAAATGGTACTGTGTAGAGGAAAACTAATGAGTTTTCCCATTTATACAAACTCTTATGAGATCACTTTAAAGAATCCTTAGTGATCCACAATAATTTGGACACTGCAACCTATATTTTACTTACTCATTAGTTTTCAGGTAAACTACATCATAGGCTAAATATAGACATTGTTAAAGAAAATTGCACCTAAAGATCAACTTTTGGTTGGGATTACACCATGTGGGGAAAGAAGATTTCAAGAACTACAATTACATGATACAAAAATATCTATGCATCAATGTTGCACATAGGTTCTATTACTTTTAGTTAAGACTTTAGCTGTCAGGTGTAATTATGCTATGGAAAAAGCTTTACGTGGGATTTTGTTCAAAATTAATCACTCATTTTTCCCCCCTTACTCCTTGCTCCAATTTGTTTGGATGAAATCCAAATGAGGATTTATGTCCTCATACGAGGACATAATCAATTTCCAAAAGTAATAACTGAAAACCAGAAACAATGAAGACATAATACACTAAAACTAAAACATTTATCATCTGGCAGGCATTTTCAACAGTCATTATTATCTGGAAGATTTTAATTTATTTTCCTGTGCAATTTTCTCAATTTATTTTCTTGTGCAAAATCTTCATCCTTTTTGTTACAGGTATAACCATCTAATTAGGTGGAAAATAATGCAAAATGAAATATCTATTGTCTCTTTTAAAAAGGGGCAACCCAAGGTCACAAGAGGTCACGTATTCCCTTTATTTTTTGTTTTGTTGCCTATGGATTCTTCCCAGCTACAAATGCATTACTGTTATGGAGCTAAAAAAATTTCTTAATTTTGAAGTGGATGTATATAGGAACTGTAGCATATGCCTAAAATTGCATTAGCAAGTTTAAAGAACAAAGAATACCCCTGCCAAAATGTAGTATAATACACTAAAGCCCATTTGGTACCATCTATTTAACTAATTTTTTTAAAGTTATTTCTAGATAATAATTTGTGATCCCATTCAAAAAAAAGGGAACATACATTGGTCATTTTTATACTTCATTTGTACATTTGTTCATCAGCCTTTGATCAACAACATCACAAGGTGGCAGAGATAATTTGAAACTGTTTCCCAAGACATTATGGGAAAGAATGAGAACCTCAGGGGAAAATGAGTTTATATGGCAAACACACTGTGTTACAAATACAAAAACAAGACCCATAGAATTTGATTGTCATATAAGATTTTTTTTTAAAAAAATAATAGAATCATCTGAATCAAGAGAAATTCAAACAGAACAGTAAATTTTAAAAAGTATTACATAAGATAACAATCATAATTGAGAAAGGAGGAATAGTACAAGATAAATATTTCAGAATGGAATAATTGGTCTGGACGGAAACAAGACTGCTAAAGTCAGACTGTAGCAATTGATTTGGAGGAAGGAAGGGAGAAATTTCTATCCAATTTATTCATCCAATGAAACCACAAAAATCTGTTTCGATTGATTGGAGATACACGTTAAAGCACAATACCTTTTTCTTCAGGGGAGGAAGAATCAATAAAAATGTCTTACCTCCTCCCATAGAGGCCAGTACATTTTGAACCAAGGGAAGCCCTATCATTATACAGAATGAAGCAGTTAGCTTAGCCAACAACAGCTAAGCTAGCATTTCTTTAGGAAGAACTGCTGATAAAAAATTGGGAACCCAAATAATCTACTTTGCATATCTCCAACTGCTCTCCACAGGTATGGTGAAAAACTTACTCCAATAAAAGAGAATATATGCAGTTCAAGGTTGAACTATGGAGGTTTTGGTGCTCTGTGAGCTTGGTCATTGCTTGCAGATGTTGCATTACCCAACTAGGTAACATCACCAATGTGAAGTAAGCAACCAAGTTCACAAAGCACCAAGAACTCTATACAAAAAGCTATTGCTTCTAGCTGTTTATAGATCAGTCTAGACCAGTCAAAGGGAATGAAGGCAATTATACACATCCCAGGATAATGTTGCAAGATCCAATCTGGGTCGGTCACCGGGACCAGAGGTTTAGTCTTCTAAGCTTTTAGACTCATGCTGGAGCCCATCCTCAGGGAACTTCTCTCTACCAGAACCTGTCCTTTGGTGTACTCTAATTGTAGTGTTTATGTGGTGCCTATTAAGCCAATAACTTAATAAGCCATTCAAAAACACCCCGATCAATAAATGAAAAGCCACATACAAACATGTACCCCATAAATACTATACACAGAATAGCCCAAAGCATACATTGTGGTAGAGAGAAGTTCCCTAAAGATGGGGCTCCAGTAGGAATCTGAAAGCTCAGAAGACTAAACCTCTGATCCTGAAAACCAATCCAGGTTAGATCCTGCAGTCAAAATAAATTTAATCAAATCCAGGATTTCAATAGCAACACCACCAATGCCTTATGAAGGATGGTACAAAATGCCACCTTTCCATTATTAAATCCTGGGGGAATTATCCAGAAATTATCAAAATGGCTGCACAAGAGGACCTAGCATACTATACAGGAATAATCGGCTGCATTCAATACCAGTAAAGGCAAAGCAAGAAGCAAATATCAGTGGAGACACTATTTTCTTTCTTTCTGAAACCCTAAATTTTCTTTGTTTTCAATAATCTATTTTGTTTAGATATGTTTCTTTTTCTGACACCCTCTTTCCCTTTTCTCTTCATCCTCAGCTTCCCAGAAAATAAATAAATAATGATATTTAATTAATTTATCCTTACTAATAAACAGAATTATATATTTTTGAAAAATTAATTACCTTTGTCATCCTCAGAGGTACCATCAGATTCACTGGAAAAAATCAAAAATTAATATTTAAATAGATGAGATCCTTTGTAGCATTAAATACTATTAAACACATTCTTAGTAAGAAAAGTGGGTGCATTCATTATTCATACATTTAAACCATTTCTTTGTTGTCCATCATATAAAACCATACCATTGTAGACAGATCTGCTTCATAAACCTATGAATGAGACATTTGTTTAGTAAAAGTTCTATAGGTTCTTTAATCAACAATCCAAGCTCTGTGCTTGGATTGTTGAATTACTAGACCAAGGATTTAATACAAAGCTCTCTCTAAAACTGATTAATACATGAATGTGCAACTTCAATTTGGGTACATCTCAAATGTTACACAGCATATAGTTTTATATACTATCTGGAATAATTCATAGCAGGATTATCACTTTAGCAGAGATTATGTCAAGATAGCCTACATTATATTCTTCTTTTTGCAGTGTTCCATTTGAAGACTTTTCCTATTAAAAAAAGTCCTAAGAATGTGCCACAAAGGATCATCAACACTTTGTATCTCAAAAACAAAAAGCAAGCAAAGCAAATACACAGGGTATCTAGTCATATAACTTAGAAATGTAGAAAGCCTTATCTGATATGATATTGCTATAAAATTATGTAATTGTTTTCAAAATGTCCGATATGTATGCAAACTGAATGCTAATGTGTCCTCTTTTTTATTATACATTCCTCTTATAAATGTATACATTTACTGTAGCTACGTATATTTTTATCCAGGCCATACTGAAACGGCAATTCCATCTTCCAATTCAGTTTACCAGTTTACTGGACTACTTTACATATCCAACTAGCCAGTTGCATATTTCCATTTAACAAGGATCAAAGAGCCATACAGATATAAACATTAGACTATCTGACGCAATAATTTTTTTTAAAAATCCTGAAATGCAGCATTTATACTTTCTATTTTAACAAACAACTCAATAATGGTATCATATTGGCTCTCGTGTTTTTAGAAGGAAGTATCGGTAAATAAAAGTAGGCTTATGAAAACTTGACTATCAACTATGATAGTCAGAATTCACACATATGTTGTGTGGGTAAGATAATGCAAATTATTCAAAGTCTAGAAAGATAAGAGAAAGACTCATACACTCTATTTTCCTGACTGACTGTTTCTATGAGATAACTAAACAAGCTGCAGAGAATAAACTATTCAATAATAATACTGTTATATAAATTCAGTGTTGATATTGTTTAAATTATATCAATGGAATTAATTTTAAGAAATACTAAAATCTATACTACAGCTTGTAGCTTCATTTTCTAAAGCATTTTTATAATCTCATTTATTGTGTTTTGATTATTGCATATCTAGGTTCATTTACTTGGTTTGTTATTTTTACTGTTTCATGCCTTACCCATGAAAGCCACCTGAGTGACCTTGGGTAAATCACTTTCTCTTTCAGCCCAAATCATCTCACATGATTGTCATGAGGAAAATAAGAGAAGGATATTGTTGCTGCCTTGAGATGTTTGTAAAAATAATAAAGGTGGAATACAAACAAATAAACAAACAATGCAATGTTCCATACTGTACCAGTACCTCTTCAATTTACACTAGGAGGATTTCATTAAGTATTTGTATCAAAAATTTAGAAAGCAGGCCTAACATGGGATATCAGTATTTGAGTATTAATATCAAATTATGCCGATGTCTAGATACACCAATATTTTATAATAGACATGTTTCATAAGACTAAGAATAGCACAGACATGGGTTAAGCAAGTTGCTAAATAAAGGCCTTAATTATGTATATTAAGCTTTTTTGGGAGAAACAAAAAACTGAGCTACTCAGTTTTCAACTGAGAATAACAATAAAAATTAAATGTTGAAAGCAGATCTTTTTAAGAAATCTGGCTATCCAATTCACACAACACAGGGATCCATGGAGGAAGCCCACATCTGCATATGGTGGGTATGCTCAAATGTCCTCCCCTTTTATACATGCATTTACAAAAGAGGATGAGTTTTTTTTTATCATAGTGCTACTTCTGCCATCTTATTGAGTTTGACTATCAATTGTAGATTGCCCTGAGCTAGCACTAGATTTGTGCTGTTGCATACCAATGAATGATGCAAATAATATATGTATGCATAACACGAGCTCTTCGACATACAACCATTCATTTAAGTGACCATTCAAAGTTACAACAGGCCTGAAAAAATTAGTTACAACCCATCCTCACACTTACAACTGTTACAGCATCCTCATTGTCATGTGATCAGAATTTGGGTGATTGGCAACTGTCATATATTTATAATGGTTGCAACATTCCAGAGTCATCTGATTGCCATTTGTGACCCTCCTGGCAAGCTTCTGACAAGCAAAGTCAATGGGGAAGGCCAAATTCGCTTAATGACCATGTGATTCACTAAACAACTCCAGTGATCCCGTAACAACCATGCAAAAAAGATTGTAAAATCAGGTATAATTCATTTAACAATTGCCTTGCTTAGCAACAGGAATTCTGGTCAAAGTAGTGATTGTAAGTTGAGGTCTGCTGCTTCTGCTTATGCAGTGATCTCATCTTTGTCTCCTTTCTTTGAGGAAAAAAGAGCATATGTATTGCATGTCCATAGGGCTATGGCCAATGGGAAGCAGGCTTACAGTGCTCCAAGCATATATTTAACTCAAACTTAAAAGTCCATTTGTGAACATATAAACTGGCTTGAGACACAGATAAATGGTAATGAAGGTGTCACAAAGATCTGTGTTCATATTTGTTTTCATTAGCATATTCTTAACTTTGATCAAAAATTATGATCAAACCATTATGTACATGGACTGTAGATTACAGCACAGTATACCTATTGCCCTAAGATATAGTCTGTTTGATTTTGATGTAGCATCTTCGGTAAGCCTACTATTGTAGTTTGTAATCATGGCCTGTTCAGGGAGCCCAACCACAATTCATTCAATCATTCTAGGCATTATTTTTCAACCCAGTTTATTATTTTTCATCTTTATACTGAATAAAATCTACTGAAGCCTAGTCTTCTTGGGGTGTATGAAAGAATATTCTCTGGAAATTTTAATGAATTAAATTTAATTCCACAAGAAATTTTCTGTAATTTTTTTAAATTTCTATTCTGATTTTCCTTTAGGAGTGCCACGGTATCCCTTCCCTCAAAATTTTATTTTCTCAAAATAATTTGGGTTGATTAAGTATATAAAGTTATTCAGTGAGCTTCTGGGGCCAAGGACAGATCTGAATGTGAGACTCCTTTGTGCCAGTTCAAAATTTAAGTATTACTGAGATTCTTGGCTCTTTTCATAGGTAGGACTGGAGCACCTACGTACACTTCACTGTGGGAAAGAAATGTGGCAAGAGAAAGTATGGGGGGCGGATTTCAGTCAGTCTTGATTGTTAATGAGTATTGGTGGCACAAACAGACCAGACATCCTTTCATCTTCCTCATAATTATAATTTCAAGTGTTGGACGTCTGTTAAGATATGTTGTGCTTTGCTATACTTGCCTTACCAGTACAGAATGTCAAAGAAAGTTTTGAAATTAATGATAACTGGGATGAGAAGGCAGGGGAGAGGAATCTGACTAGCTATCAAAGAACTCTTTAAGGAAAAAAATTGTTGCATTTGTACATAATGTTCATTTCTAGCTTTGTATATACAGTAGGTTTTCCTGCTACGTTTAATTTTTTCAAAATACATTAGGTTTTTCATGAATTAGTATACAGTATTAACTTGAAGGTTCTTTTCCTATTTTATAAAATGCATGTTGCTAAGACTACAATTTTATTTCATTTTATTTCTCTCTCTCTCTCTCTCTCTCTCTCTCTCTCTCTCTCTCTCTCTCTCTCTCTCTCTC